TGGGCCCCCCAGCAGGCCTCGAAAATGGCGACAGTTTCACAGATCGCAGCCCCCCAGGGATGGCGAGGTCTAATTTGAATCTGCGCGTGGCCCTCACTGTGCTGGGCCCCCCAGCAGGCCTCGAAAATGGCGACAGTTTCACAGATCGCAGCCCCCCGCAGGCAAGACAGGAAGAGGCAGGGAGGGAGGGAGGAGGAGGAAGGAAGGAGTGGAGACCACACTGCTCTATTCAAAACGAATGCCCAACCAAGGAGGGTTGGGAATAATCAGGGGACGATGTTTTTCAATTGTTTTTATATTTCTGAATATTCTACAGGAGGAGAATTCAAAAATTGTCACAACAAAATAATCAGGGGACGATGTTTTTAAATTGTTTTTATATTTCTGCCTATTTTTGGAGTATTTATAATTTGTCGTCCACACTCCGCCTGTAGGGGGACATGCCCGACCTAAGGTAGACTGTGCTCCATCGTTCGGCTTAAGTTGGCCTTCACCTGGCGCGCTCTGCTGCTCCAGTTGGGCCTCTGGATCTCGCGCCGGGCCGGCGTCTGCGCCGTCCACGCCCTCCACCGGGACGGTCGACATGGGTACGGAAAGAATGAGTACAATGGCCAACAGCAGTCATTGTTCATTTTGAACAGGATTTCATGTCCGCGGACGTTGTTCTTTGAAGAATAAAAGCCGCCTGCGCAACAGCGGCCGCTGTCGGTTTTGGACAACACTGATTGTTCGGCGTTGAACCCATCTTTTCCGCACCCATTTCGGGCGTCCAAAAATTCAACCTTTTCCACATTGGGAGGTTCGGGCCCCTAGGATACCCGCCGGTTGGTGAAGGCAGGTACCTCTGGGCTCCCAGATCCCACTCGACTGTGGGCGCCTTCCTACTTCAGTGACCGAGCGGAGTGCCCTCTTGACTCCTCTTCGGGGGGCGGGCGGAGACCCAGTCTACCCTCAACTGTGCGGAGACCCAGTCTACCCTCAACGGCTTCCTACTTCATGTCTCTGCCCACCTCTTCCGACCGGCGGGAGCTGCACGAGCTCTGTCTGCACGTTTTCGCTCTGCGAGCCTCGCCCCACGCGCGGTGTCCGTGCTGCACTCTTCTCCCCGTCTGGGCCCACGCGCTGCGGCAGGCCCACGGGCATGCCCTGAAGCTGTCGACGGTCCTGCCCATCGCGCCGATCCCACGAAGCACAATAGCCCGCCGTGCGCATACAGCTCTGGGTGGTCCTTCGGGCGAGGGGAAGGTGTCGCGCTCTGGCGTGACACTGGCCCACGGCTATGAGATCCGAAGGCGAATTGCCAATTCGGTACCTTCTACCCTCAAGGCAGCTCCCTGTGAGTCAAGATGGCTACGGGAGACGAGGAGGAGGGAGGAGGGGATGGAGGAGGGAGGAGGAGGGGATGGAGAAGGAGGCGAATGAGGATGCGGGGATGAGAAATGAGAAAAAGTCATAGTTAAGCCCAGATGCAGCAACGATGCTGCCACACACCCTCCCGCCCGAAGACCTTTCCTCAAAAGCCCCTTCACGTACGAACGCACACTATGGGGAGCCCCCCATGGCCCTGTCGTTCTCGGCAGAGCCCCGCGTTGGAACGGAATCGACGTTGCATGCAGGATTCTTGTGGAAGTGACAAGCAAGATCCCCGTTGTGCAAACAAGCCGTGAGGCACTTGTAGGGAGGAGGAGCAGAGGAGAAGCAGGAGGAGGAGGAGGAGGAGGAGGAGGAGCAGCAGCAGGAAAAATGGATCTGGGAGGTGGCGGGCCCAGACATCCGACACCACGATTTGGTCAGAGCGTGGCTTCCCAGAGCCCTGGAAGGCCCCCAGGGGAGGCCAAAGATTGTCAAAGATTGTCCGTCGTGATTTTCTCTCGACGGACAATGCCCCTACTCCCCCAGGGGGAGGGGGGCATTGTCAGCGGCGTGCCGAGGGGGGAAGTCCGCGGGGTCGGGCCGGTTCAGGTGGCGGCGGGGCTTCTCAGAAGCTCTGAGGGCCTTCGGTGAAGCCCTCAGCGTCTTCGGAAAAGGCTCAGAGAGCTTCTCAGAAGGAGCCTTCTGAGGGAGCCCGCCCCCTCTGCCTTCCCCTGGGCGCGACGCCGAAACTGGGCCGGTGGTCGTAACGATGGTCTCTCAAGCTCAATGGGCGCCTGCAGCGCAGGCTGCTTAGACCCAGCCGACCGAGGCGACGGGAGGAGCGCCAGATGCGTAACCAGTTTTCTTCTCTTCATCCTCCTCCTCCTGCTCCTCCTCCGCCTCCTCCTCCTGCTCCGCCGCCTCCTCCTCCTGCTCCTCCACCGCCACCGCCTCCTGCTCCTCCTCCTCCTTCTCCTCCTCCTCCTCCTCCTCCTCCTCCTCCTCCTCCTCCTCCTCCTCTCCCCACCTCCTCGCGTAGTGAAAAACGCAGCTGGAGCATGTTGGTAATTTTCGGCGTCTGGTCGCCCGTACCATGCCCTAAGGTTGTCCAAAACGAGTCAGGATGAAAAGCCCGTCCTTGGCAAGGTGTCGGGATTTGTGGGGTCCCACCTTGTGAAGGAAACAAGACGTCGGAGGTTTGGGTCTTCTTGGTACCATATCATAAGCTTGGAGGACGGTCAAGTTCGACATAAGCGCGGCTGAAGGAGTCTCGCCTGCTGGCAGGACGGAGCAGCCCGAGACGGTGTTACGGTGCAAGGGCAGGAAGGCGACAGGACTCGGGGAGGCCAAAGCCGCGCGAACAGCATGCTCCACTCACGGCTGGCGCCCGTGCCTTGCTCGGGTGCACCCGTCGACCACATCCGCACCGGGGCACCGCGCCGTCGCGTGCCCACCGTGGCATGCCCGCTGGGGCACCCGCCGTTCGGCACGGGGCACCACACCGCTGAGGCATGCCGCTCCCCACTTGACCGGGGCCAGCCTGCCTGGCTGAACGGGGCGGGAGTCGAGTCGACCGTCGACCACACCAGGGCGAGCGATAGCTGGCGTGCAGGCGCTGTCTGTTGCCGTTTCTGCCAGCCCCCAAAGGATGCGTCACGAAGGACCAGCTCCTGGGAGCCATGCTGAGCGACGGCAGCGCGGATGGGAGGGTGACCAGGGGCAACGTTCGGGGGGGCAGGCTCAGAGGGGGGTGCTCTGGGGGCATAGCTCGGAGAAGAGCAAACGTCATAAACATAAACTTTTGGCGCTCCGCGCGGACCCACGCCGATCCAAGCGCGGATCTAAGAAAGCCGCGCGGAGCGCCAAAAGCTGTATGTATATATGGCGCGTCTTCTGCTCCTTGTCATCATCATGCTTCTTCCACTTGGGGGCACATCGCCGATCTCTCGGCGATGCACGCACTGCCGATACCAGGTCGACGTGTCCCCCCCGCCCCCCCTCTGGGCAGGTGCCCCCCCCCGACGGTCGCAACCCTCAGGCGAGGATCCGGGCGCCCCACGGCGGCGCGCGCCCCGCCGACGGCGAGGCTCTGGGAAGGGCAACCCGCTCGCACCGCTTCGCGGGGGGGGGGGCACGGCCGGCCGACGAGCCCTCCGTCCTGTCCGTGCGGCGCTCGAGCGCGCTTCGGACGCACGTGCTCGCGAGGTTCGAGCCCGCCTCCCGTGGCGCCAGGGGCTCGCCCGCCTGCCCCCTGTTGCGCGCTGCCCTCCTCCGCTCCCCCCTCCGTGCAAGTCTTTCTCCTGCGGCGGCTCGCCTCCTCATCCTCGTCCGTGTCCTCTACTATGCCCCCCTCATTCTCATCCGCCTCCTCCTCCTCCTGCTCTTCCTCCTTCTCCTCCTCCTCCTCCTCCTCCTCCTCCACCTCCTCCTCCTCTTCCTCGTCATCATCTTTGCACCTTCATTCCCTGGATCCCGACCTTGTCATCATCATGCTTCTCCTCCTTTTCCTTCTTCCCCTGCTCCTCCTCCCTCATCCAGCCACCTCACCCTCTTCACTGTGTTTCTGATCATGTCCTCCTCCTCCTCCCCCATCTCTCTCCATTTCCTCCTCGCGCCATCTTCCTCCTCCACGTCCTCTTCATCATCATTCTCTCCTTGTCATCCTTTCCAGATTCCTCATTGTGCCCAGGGCCTGATTGGGTGGCAAAGCAAATACCGATTCGTGCTTGTGTTTGCCATGGCCGCCTCTGGCCCCAGCTAGACCTGAATCCCCGACAACCGTAGTCTGGATAGGACTCCAGTTGGCCGCGACTAGCCAAGATTAAGCTGTCCAGCACACGCCGCAGCTAACTTGAGTCATCGCCACCGCCGCCGTAGTGCACATCAGGAACAATCGATCGTAGGTTGGAACCTGGGTTGCTTCAAATAGAGAACGAAGACAAGTATGATCAAGCCGGTCAAGCAGTAAGCGACAAACGTCGCTGGCCAGCTGAACATCTTCACAGCCTCTGCTCCAAAACATATGTAAAACGTAGAAACCCAAGCAGCAGTGCGTTCTTCAGCCCTGGCGAGATCGAGACGCAACACAGATAGGCAGTCATCCAACACGTGGAGCGCCTCGTAAGACTGCGGGATGGAGGTGGCGAGATACACCGGTCAGAGAGTGTGGGCCAGCACGAAGGCGAAGCCACGAGGCATCATCGTGCGCTCCGCGCTTGAGTGTGACGCCGAAGTTGGCAACCTGGCTGTGCCAAGGGAAACGGTGTGGCGTGGGCCCTCCTAGGCACTGCTGACCTGCAGGGTGGGGCCCGGCGCTCGGATCCGCCAAGGAGGAGGAGGAGGCCTGGCGCCCCGCCCAGAGTGCGGCCGCTCGGTGCGCCACGGCGCGGGAGGCCGAGCTCCCCTGCCGTGCCGTGCACGCGCTCCAGCAAGCCTCGGGAGCCGCGGTGACTCGGGAGAACCGCTCTCGCTCTCTCTCTCTCGCTCTCTCTCTCGCTCTCTCTCGCTCTCTCTCTCTCTCTCTCGCTCTCTCTCTCGCTCTCTCGCTCTCTCTCTCTCTCTCTCGGCGCAGCCTCCGCGCGGCGGGCGGGGCAGCCGCACGGCGGCCCCCGCCCGCCGCGCGCTCCTCCGAGGGTGCGGTGCGCCTGCCCGCGAGCCTCGGCGGGCCCTGCCGCCGTCCTTCGCGGGGGGGCGGCCCGTGGCGGCCAGCCCGGCCCCGTCGCGCTCGCGCGGCCGCTGCTCAGGAGCGAAAGAAGGACGTACACGTACACGAATCCTCCTCCTCCTCCTCCTCCTCCTCCTCCTCCTCCTCCTCCTCCTCCTCCTCTTCCTCCTCCTCCTCCTCCTCCTCCTCCGCTTCCTCCTCCTCCTCCTCCTCCTCCTCCTCCTCCTCCTCCTCCTCCTCCTCCTCCTCCTGGGGGTCTTCCCCAAGCGTACCCGTGCATCTTGGCCTCCCCGGTCCGTCCTTGGCCACCTTCGCTGGCCGCGCCCCGCCCGAGAAGCCTCGAGATGGACGTTCAAGAGTACGCATTGCCCGAAAGTTCGTATCACGCGGCCGGTCTCGCGGATCGAGGGGCCGTGTTCATGTACACAGCTGGGCGCGCACGTCCTCTGTGGGCTCCCTAGCTGCCACTCCACCCCCTTCCCGGGGGCACCTTCTCTTGGCATCGCTCGGACGTGTGCATTTTGTTCTCGGCGAGCGCCGCCGAGGACCACCCTGGACCATCGAGCGAGCAAGAACACACAGGAAACTGAGCAAAGCACAGAAAATGGACGTCCGAGCGACGGCGAGTTTTGCATCCTTGCCCCCTTCGGCCCGTCGCTGGCCACCTTCGCTGGCCAGCCGCGCTCGAGGAACGTTCACATGGGCCTGCAAGGCCCTGGCATATCCTCACCGCGCATCCTCATGATACGGGTTGACCGTATCGGCCCACCGTACTCGCAAGGGGGGTTCCCCACGTCATCGCGGTCGCTGGACTCAGAGGCCTCGCTCCCGGCGTCCTCGACAGCCTGCCCGAGCGTCTTCGCCCGCCCAGAAGACTTGGCTCTGGTGATCGGCCGCGCTTGACTTCCACAGGGATCGGACGTGCTCGACTTGACGTCTCCTCTTGCCTGAAGAGCACCCCCACCTCCGTAGAGAGGATCCTGCTGCCGGCTCCCCACGGAAGGTCGGTTCGGCCTCGGAGGTCTCGCTCTGCTCTGAGATCAGTTCGAAAGATTATTCGGGCATCCCCATGATCCCGTTGTTCTTGGAGTCAACCCTGAAAGACCGCAATTACATTGCGCAGTACACACGCACCTGCGGAGGGAGCGCCGTCGGATTCTCCTACCTGCAGCTCATCCATGTTCACCGCCGCACCGCCTGCTCAAGGCAAGCAGCGGTCCCACCATCGCCAAGGCCACGAGGATGTAGCCAGGGGGGCCCCTCCTTGCTGGCTTGAGTTGTCGCCAGCCCTGTTCGGCTGGCCATGAACTCCCCCGAGTACGTACAGTTAACCCGCTTGGTAAGGATGAGCGACTTTCCAAGGTTACCCTTGCGTCCTTCCCCTTCAAGCCCACCCTTGGCCGCTTTCGTTGGTCGCGCCCCGCCCGCAAAGTGTTGGCATGGCCCTCCCAGGCCCTTGCCTCCTCATCGCGCGTCCTTATTTTACGGGTCGACTGCCACCCCGAGTGGCCGCTCGCCCTGGTTTGTCGGAAGCACGCCCGCCGCCGCAAGCCCCTGAGTTGCCGCTTGCCCAGGCCTGCCTGGAACTCGATTGGCCGTTGCTAACCCCGACAAGCCACAGGTGGCCGATCACCTTGGTCGACTTGGGAAGATTCGAAGAATGAGAAGAAGAAATTGCATACATACATATATATATATGTATATACAAGACTACATTGGCGCTGCGCGCCATGCACCATGGTCCTTTGAGTTCTGCACGCAAGCGGAATGCGTGCGTGCGTACATGCGCGCATGCATGTATACACGCGCACGTGCATGCACGTTCCGTATACATGTCTAGGTGTATACAATATACTTACATTGTTGTATGCGTGTATACAGCGTGCAGGTGTACATATAACTTTATGTGTGTAAGGGTATGAACATGCATATGCAACTCGTACGTGCTTTGTCGGTGCACGCCCATATGTGTAATATATATATATATGTATATTTATGTGTATATAACTATGGGTTCGCATACACATGCGTATCTCAGGCGGTAGTGGCCTGACAAGTTGCTCAGGGCATCTCGCAAATGAAAGGTGCGAGGGTCTCAGGCGAAAATGGCCAGATTACCATGGGACAGTGCATCGCCGAGGTCAGTGTGCGAGGATGCCTCAAGCGAAAATGGCCTGAACACTTCCGCTCAGGACATACCGGAACTCAGAGTTGCGAGGATGTCTCAAGCGAAAACGGCTTGAACACCTCAGCTCAGGACAGACCGGAACTCAGTGGCGCGAGGATGTCTCAAGCGAAAGTAGCGGAATACCATGGGGCAGAGCATCTCGGAACCCAGAGCTGCGAAAACGTTTCTAGCGAAAGTGGCCCGAACACCTCAGTTGAAGGAGCCCTGGGACGCAGAGTTGCGAGAAAGTCTCAAAGCGGAAGTGGCTGGACCACCTTGGGGCAGGGTTTCTCCGAGGTCAGAGTTCGGAGGAGGTCTCAGGCCACAGTGGTCTGATTTCCTCAGCTCAGGGCACCTCGGAACCGAAAGTTGCGAGGATGGCTCTGGCGAAAGTGACCGGAACACCGCAGCTTAGGACATCCCCGGACGCAGGGTTGCGAGGGTGTCGCATGCAGAAGTGGCCGGACCACTTTGGGGTAGGGCACGTCCGAGGTCAGAGTTGCGAGGATGTCTTAGGCGCAACTGGTCCGAGCACTATGGGGCGGGGCATCTCCGAAGTCAGCCTTGCGAGGAAGTCTCAACGCAATGTGAAGCCATGCGTCATAATTCCAAGCATTGCCAATCCAAGGGAATGCGCGCGTAGGAGTCGATTGCCTCTCAGGGCTTTCTGGGACCCCTGGAAGCATCACGATCATCTTGTGAAAGTTGTTGGGGGCATCCTCGGGCATCTTCGCTGCATGCCACGAGACCCTCAATGACTGGGTCACAATGTGAAATGTCATGGGAGCAAAATCAATGAATGTTGGCATTCGGAAACATCGTGGGGGTGTTTTCGGGGCCCTCGTGGGCCGTTTTGGCGCCTTCATGGGCCGTCCAGGGGCCTTCTTGGGCCTTCTTGAGGAGCTTGGGCCCGCTGGAGCCCCCTTTGGACCCATCTTGGGCACTTCCGGGGACCTCCCATGGCCCTTGTGTGTCTGTGCTGGGAGCCCTTGGGGGGCCTCTTGGTTCCATTATGGGCTGTCTTGGGGCTCTCGTGGGCGATCGTGGGGCCCGGCTCGGCCGTCTTGCAGATTTCTGGGGGGACTTTTGGAGCGTCTTGAGGCGATCTCGGGGGCTTTGAAGCCGTCTTGAAAGCTGATGAAATCCGAAAGGCGAATATGCTAAAATTTGAGGTTTTACCAGGGGGATGGGAAGATTTTTGTGGTTTGAAGGCCCCCTGGAAAGCTTTTTGGGGTGCCTTGGGGGTCTTTATGTTGGCATTCGGGAACATCGTGGGGCCCTCGTGGGCCGTTTTGGCGCCCTCATGGGCCGTCCTGGGGCCTTCTTGGGCCGTCTTGGGGAGCTTGGGCCCGCTGGAGCCCCCTTTGGACCCATCTTGGGCACTTCCGGGGACCTCCCATGGCCCTTTTGTGTCTGTGCTGGGAGCCCTTGGGGGGCCTCTTGGTTCCATTATGGGCTGTCTTGGGGCTCTCGTGGGCGATCGTGGGGCCCGGCTCGGCCGTCTTGAAGCTTTCTTGGGGGTCTCTTGGGGCGTCTGGGGGCGATCTCGGGGGCTTTGAAGCCGTCTTGAAAGCTGATGAAATCCGAAAGGCGAATATGCTAAAATTGTAAGTTTAACTACGGGAATGGGACGATTTTTGTGCTTTGAAGGCCCCTTGGAAAGCTTTTTGGGGTGCCTTGGAGGTCTTTATGTTGGCATTCGGGAACATCGTAGGGGTGTTTTCGGGGCCCTCGTGGGCCGTTTCGGCGCCCTCATGGGCCGTCCTGGGGCCTTCTTGGGCCGTCTTGAGGAGCTTGGGCCCGCTGGAGCCCCCTTTGGACCCATCTTGGGCACTTCCGGGGACCTCCCATGGCCATTTTGGGTCTGTGCTGGGAGCCCTTGGGGGGCCTCTTAGTTCCATTATGGTCTGTCTTGGGGCTCTCGTGGGCGATCGTGGGGCCTGGTTCGGCCGTCTTGAAGATTTCTGGGGGGGCCTTTCAGGGCGTCTGGAGGCGATCTCGGGGGCTTTGAAACCGTCTTGAAAGCTGATGAAATCTGAAAGGCGAATATTCTAAAATTGTCCTTGGAAAGCTTTTTGGGGTGCATTGGGGGTCTTTTGGGCCGTCCTGACGCAATTGGAGTTCCTCTGGGAGCGCTCTTGTGCTGTCTGGGGCCTCCCTTGAGCCTTTTGATGACCCCTCGGATCGCTCTGGGTCTGCTGACAAGGCGTTTGTGGAGACCCGGAAAGCCGGGTAACCTTTTCCAAGGACGTCCAAGGGAGCCCGAGAACCCCAGATCCCGGGAGCCCAGTTTGGGGGGTGTGGGAGGGGTCCCCCCCCCGGGCTTGTAAAAATATAAGAAGAGGAATGTGTGTGTGTGTGTGTGTGACCCACCCGCGGAGTTCCCGAAGTTGGCGCGAAGCCCCCTGGGCTGCGGCTCCAGTGCCGCGCCATGGCGCGCCCCGCGCGCCATGGGAGCGGGTCCAGAGCAAAGACCTATAGGAAATATCCGCGCGGACCTCCGACAGCTGATACGTGCATGCTGCTTTCGGCGGCGAGCGAGGGGGAAGAGAGCTTGCTGGGAGAGATCATTGGGCACATGCTTTGTCAAGATCTGGGCTTCCCGAGGCGCCCCAGGCCCCAGGGCTGCAGTGGGACCCCAGAATGACACTGGTCGGCGGCGAGCGAGGGGGGGAAGCGAGAAGGAGAAGACCTGCTCAGAAGCTTCGGAAGCCCCCCGGCCTTCTGAGAAGTAGTCTAAGCTTTTACCGAAAACATAACAAAAAGTTTGCTGAAGGCGCGAGGGCTTCCGAGAAGCCCCGCCGCCTTCTGAGAAGGCCTTCTTCTTCTCACTTCCCCCCCCTCGCTCGCCGCCAATTCTTCCTCTCCTTGTACAAAGCGCTGGCCGTCGCCGACGCTGACCAGCCCCAAGTGTCTTCGTGCGCTGACGTTGGCATGTTCGACTGGCCGCGGCAGTCCCAGGACAGCCCCGAGCTCTGATGTTCGACGTTGTTGGGAGTTCGGCTGGCCGCAATTAATCTTGATTAGTCCCGAGGTGCCGCCTTCCTTGGCCGGTTGGGAACATCTGGTTGGCCGTTGCTAACCTCGACTAGCCTCTGGTGGCCGCTTGGGAGATATCGTTGGCCGTCAAGAGCCCCGACCAGGTCCGAGCGGGAGTTCGCCTTGCGCCGTCAGGATCTTGTCGTGCAGCCACTAACCCCTCCTCGCCTCGAGTGGTTTATTGCGCCGCTGTGTATGACATGCCGCTGGCCGCCGTTGGCGTCGTCTAGCTGGTCGCTGCGGTGCTGTAGTCCGACGGGAACTCTAATGGCCGCCAGTAGCCCTCGGCGAGCCTTTGGTGGGCTTGTTGCCCCGCTCTCTTTCGCACCCACTGCCCCGACTGGTGGTCCTTGCGTTGGTCTCTTGGGAGCACAGATGGCCGATGTTGGCCGCAAGTTGCCGCTCGCTTCGGTCTGCCAGACGTCCTAGAAGCCGCCACGAGCCCTGGCTGAGTCACGAGCTGTCCGTTGCCCTGGTCGGTTGGCGATTCCGTTGACCGCCAGCAGCTCCGACTTGATTAGTTCACGGGTGGCCGCTCGCCCAGCCTCGTCTGAGATGCGCTTGGCCGTCGTTGGCCCCTCGGCCAGCCTGAGCAGCGCCTCGTCTTGGTTCGTCGGGTTTCCGTTGGCCGCCTCTGGATCTGGCCATTCCCCAGTGGCCGCCTGCCCTGGCAACTCCACTGGCCGCCACCAGTCCCGCTCTGCGCACGCGTGTTCCGAGCAGGGCCCGCGCTGAGTGGTTGTTGCCACGTTGTGAGCGTCTGTGTCTGCCCGGAGAGCGTGCCGAGTTCCTCTTGGGAGTCGGTTGAAGGCTTGACGGCGAGGGGTGTTTGGAACTCGTTGGGGCCGTCTCGGGGGTCTTGGGCCGCGCTTGAGGGGTCTGAAGCCCACCTCGATGAGACGATCCAGGGAGGACCTCGCCTTCGAGAACGGATCGACTGCCCGTAAGAGTGACCCTTCGCCAGAGTGACCTTTGCTGCGGGTCTGTTGGGGTCCCCCAATCGTTGCATGCGATGCGGTAGCAGCAGCTTTTAAGCTCGGTTGTGGCTCCCCCGCGCCACCCCTGAAGCCGCGCATGAAAGGTCACTCTTGTGTCCAGGGTCACTCTTGCGTGCAACCGAAGGAAGGATATGGCACCTCGCCCTCGGGAGGGGGCGGTGGAAGCAGAGCGGGGTCGGCTCGGTCGGCGGAAGCCAGCCAAAGTAGAGCTCTTGCCCCCAAGAGATGATAACATTTCTGCCCAGGGCTTCCGGAATGCATCACTTCTAACGTATTGCGTGCGTTTTGTTGCTTCGTCGGGCTGAGGGTGTCATGACAGCCTGAGGTGGCACTCGGCAGCTCCAGGAGGCACTCGAGGCACCGCCTTTCGGGCCTGCCCCTTTTCGGTCCGCCGCAAACCCCATGACGCCCAAGGGATCGCCGAAGTAAGTCCGGGACCTGAAGACACAGTCTCTCAGGGGGAGCGGCGAGTTAAGCCGAACTTGCGGGGGGGGGGCTTGCAATCCACTGTACTTTCGCCTCGCCGGTAGCCGGCGGCGCATGCGCAGTCCTCGGCGGCCTCTAGAGGCTTGAGGTACAGTCCAAAAGACGGCTGCCAAACTATTCCATCCATGGGTCCGAAGTCACAAACGGCGAAGATGTCTTATCTCGAGGATGGTTTGGCCAACGACGGGTGGAACGCCCGCTGCACGCCTGCGTTGGCCAAGAATAGCAGGCGCAAATTCCCAAATCATGTGCCACTCCATGTTCGTTTTCTTCCGTCGCCTCCAGGCAGACAGACCTCGCTCGCAGCGCAAGGGCAGAAAAGCTACAGGGGTCCCTACCAAGGAGCAGCTGCTCGCAGCGCTGCAGATGGAAGAAGACGATGCCAGCGAGGGCGACAAGAAGCAAGGCATTTGTTCTTTGAAGATTGGAGGTGCCATGCGCTTGGACGGAGCTGATGGATCGAAACAACGTGTCGCGGGCTCCGAGGATGGGGACAAGCATGACGAGTCTGGAGGTAGACTAGTTTCACGAAAAGCCACAGGCTGCGTCACAAAGCAGCAGCTGCTCGCGGCTGCGATGCAGGACGATGGCGATGATGCCGAGAGCATCGAAGGCAAAGAGGGCATGCCATCGGCGAGCGCTGAAGTGAGATCCGTGCACTTTGCTGCTGGCCTCTTCAAAGGCAAATTTGGAAAGAGACTCACAGTAGCAGCCCCAGGGAATTTAGACAACTCTGGTACTGTTCAGCCCGTTCCGAAACGGAAAGGCAGAAAGGCCACAGGCATCCCCACCAAGCAGCAGTTGCTTGCGGCCTTGCAGCAGGATAGCGATGGCGACGATGGGTCGGGCACCGCCGATGAATCAAAACGAGACGTCGGGGGCTCCAAGTGCAAGGTCAGAATCATGCCGCCCGAGGATGGGGACAAATGTGACGAGTCCGAAGGTAGACTAGTGCCGCGAAAAGCCACAGGCTGCGTCACAAAGCAGCAGCTGCTCGCGGTTGCGATGCAGGACGATAACCATCATGCCGAGAGCAGTGAATACAACGACCAGCCACCGTCGAGCGTTGAACGAAGAATTTTGCATTTTCCCCCCAGCATTTTCAATGGCATGTTTGGAAGGAGAGTCACGATAGCAGCCCCAGAGAACGCAGACAAAGCTGTCACGGCTCAGCCAGTTCCGAAAAAGAGAAACAGAAAAGCAACAGGGACCGCTACAAAGGAGAAGTTGGTCATGGTCTTGCAGCAGCAGAGGAGCGATGAGGTTTCGAAGAAGTGTGTTGTGCAGAAGTTTGTCCGTTTTGCGTCCAGCCAAGTCGCAAAGACGCCCAGCACGAGGAGCTCCCCAGTTCACGCGGACGAATCTACCACGCCGGCTCCGAAGCGGAAGGGTAGAAAGGCCACAGGCGTTCCCACTAAGGACCAGTTGTTTGCGGCTCTGCAGCAGGGGGAAAGCGAAGGCGGCGAGGGCGATGATGAACAAGGCGATGTGTCTGCCAGGCATCGAGGTGCCATGCGTCCAGGCGGAGCTGATGGAACGAAACGAGGCGTTGGGAGCTCCAAGGGCAAGGTCAAAATCGCGCCGCACGAAGATGTAAAGAAAGCAGACAAGTCCGACGAGTCCGACGAGTCCGATGGTAGACCAGTGACGCGGAAAGCCACAGGCTGCGTTACAAAGAAGCAGTTGATGGAGATTGCGATGCAGGGCGATGGCGATGATGAGAGCAGCGAAGACGAAGATGACCAGCTAGCGAAGAAGAACGCTACAATCCATGCGTCAAGTATGCAAAACACAGATGTCGGGAACGAGACTTGGAAGAGGGCCGCAGACCAGCAGATCACTGAATTTGCATCGAGCTTAGTGCGTGTTGTTTGCTTGATCGTTGACTGCGGCAGCAGTGAGTGCTGATCACATCATCGCTGATTGTGGGGTTAGTTCTTCGTGATCGCATGATCGGCAGAGCTCACCACGTGACCCTCGGAGCGAGTGGTCGGCCACACTGCGACTCGCTTGAGTTACATACTGTCGGGGCGCTGAAGAAGGAACCCTTTTCATTGGGGAGGGGCTCCGCGTTCCTTAATTGCTTCGCAGCTTGCCTCAGGCTTTCCTTAGGTTTTCGACAGGAAATCGAAGTTTCACTTATGGAAAAAAGGGGCCTCGTTCCTTATTGAGGGTTCCTTAGGTCAACGCCCCGACTGTACCCAGCCAGAATAATGGGACCAGCGTCTCTTTCAAAGTTGACTCCAATGTCGCACGTGAGATGTCAGTGGCTTCGGGTTCACCCCAGGGATCTCCGACTTGCTTGTGGTTTCTGACAGGGGTGCCGGACCTATCTGAGGGGCTCTCGAAGTCCCCGCCCCGAAGCCAGTCTCCGAATGGAATTTCCACTGAGGACCTCGTGTCGGGGTTGAGCCCCAGAGTTCTATTATATCGTTTCCCTGGCCAATCATGGCCACGTTGCCTTTCTCCAATGAGTGAATGAGCACGTACGCATCATATCATGACATGGCCATCCGGAAAAACGGTGATTGCATTTAGGGGTTGCACTTGCTTTGGAATGAATTGGCTCCATTCGCCTTTTTCGTAATTTGCTGGTGCGGTCCAGCCCCGTGCAGTGCAGACGCTGCAAAAAAAGCACGTTGGGCTCGGGAGGGGCTCTGGCTTTGAGGCCGTTCATATCATTAACGTCGTGGGACCTATTCGTGGCCGAGGCTCGCCGAGGCCAGAAAAGCCCCATGGTTCCTTACTTCGAGTTCCTCAAGATAGCACGATGACTATAGGACCCCACAATGAGTTGTACTTGTTCGCGGGGAGTTTCCCGGCAACAGGGTCCCATCCCATGAGAACCCACCCACGGGATCCCATCCCATAGAGCCCTTACGTTCCCACCTCTGAGGGTCCTACCGTTGCAGGGTCCCACCGTACATATTGCACCCATAGCTTGCACCGCACGTTTTGCACAGCATAAGATGCGTCACCTAGATGGCGCCCCATATGTGATCCGGGGTCGTGGGCCAGCACCCACACACACCCAAGATTGGATGGCCGTAAAGGTTATACGCCCCCCCGGATGGGATGGGGTGTGTTGACGACAACGGCGAATACGACAACGGCGACGACGACGACGAAGACGACATCGCATACGACGACGGAAACGACGACGAGGACGATTAGGACAACGACGAGGGAACGACGACGTAGACAAGGACGAACAAGACGACGGCGGCGGCGACGACGACGAGGACAACGGCAACGACGACGACGACTTTTGCACCTCTGCACCACAGCACCACACCACACCTTAGCGGGCCCTGGAAACGACAGGGCCGTTTTTTTACCGGTTCCGTTTTGCCGTTTTGTTGCCGGTTCCGACGCCGTTTTTTCACCAGTTCCATCGCCGTTCTTTTACGGGTTTCCCGCTCTGGTTCCAATCTTGGAGCCGTTTTTGTTGCCGTTTCCGGTCGCCATTTTTTTGCCGTTTCCATTTTCAAGGGACATTTTTTCAGAAACGGTGAAAAATTGCCTTGCCGTTTCCGGGGCCCACTAAGCACCACACCACACCCCTGTTAGGGAGGAGGGGGACGAACCCATCAGCATAGGAGAGGGGCCGTGGACCTCGGATAATAGACTGCACAGAGCCACTGTTTGGGGCCCACGCTAGGCACTATCGACGGGGCGCAGTTCTTTGCACCGCTCGTTTTCATGGGCGTCGTTGCTTGCGTGGTTCTTTTCCCAGTCGCCGCTTGCAGTTAGGCGAATGCGAAGTGGGCCGAGCCCACCGTTCCAGTGGAGCGCGGATTCTAACTCACCAGGCAGGGCTGGAACCTGGCTCGGGGGTCGTGGCTTGTCCTCCGAGCGCGGTGGCGTCGTCTTGGCCACGCCTGCGCTCGGCGAGGCCCGATCAAGGGGGAAGCTGGTGCCCGGTCCCAGTGGCACGTGCGCGCACTATACTGTTGGGTTATATTATCCGTAAGGGTTTCGCCCCTTGCCGCCGGCCCCCTCTCCAGAATGGGATATATCAGAGTCGCGTCGGTACGTCTCGGCGCTGCCTTGGCGCACCTGGGAACATGCGGGGCGGAAAAGAGTCATCAGCGCATATAGAGACATTGGCGTTATTTCAGACGCCCACTGCGAATCACCGCCGCCCCCTGCCTTTCAGAATCGCCCATGCGGCCAAGCGTTGTGGCAAGAGCTCTGCCAAGCTATCGGACCATGTCTTCCCCCAACCGCTGTGGAAACCCTTCAGGGAACACTTGGGGGAGGATGGCGGGGAAGATCAGGGGGAGGCGGAGGAGGAGCCTCTGGGGACACTCTTGGGGCCTCCTGTGAGCTTCCTGGAAGCCTCTTGGAGGTATCTTGGGGGCCTTCTTGGGCCTCTTGGGGGCCTTTGAGGGATTCTCGGGGGCCTCTTTGGCCGTCTTGGTGGGCTTCTGGTCCGCCTGACGCCGCCTGCAGCCGTCTTGGAGGTCTCTGTGGGCCGACTTGGAGTCCTCTTGGGGCGCTCCAGGGCCGTCTTGGAGGCCATCTTGGGCGTCTTGGAAGCCTATTGGGTCGTCTCGGGGCCCTCCTGGGGCCGTGTTGGGGGCCTCTTGTGCTGTTCTGGTGCCATCCTGGAGGCCTCTGGGGCGATCTTGGGGCGATGTTTGGGGGCTCTTGAAGCACATGGGATTCCTGTGATCTTCGTGGTTCTGTGGCCTCCTCCCTCCTAGATTATTCCCGTCCCCTTTCTTCTCCTCTGGTGGGGTGCCTGGAGCGGTCCTGGGGGGGGTCTGGGGAGGGTTCTGGGGGTCCTGGGGGCGGTAGCGGTTAGATCTGAGGGGAGTCCCTAGGATCCCCGAAACATCTTAGGGATGCGCAAATCATATATTTTTTTAAAGGAAAAAAATGCAAGATGGAGGACCGCCCCCACCCACCCCTCACCCCCTTCCCCAGGGGGGGTCCGGATGCGCAAATCATGAAGAAAACGCCACATGGGGGACCGCCCGCCCCCCACCCCTTTTCCCCTCTTCCCCAGCAGAGCCACCCCGGCGACCCCCCCCCAAGCAGAGCTGAAGCTCTTGCTTAGGCTCAGAGCTGAAGCTCTTGCTGAGGCTCCTTGTAGTTCACACGCCGGGCCCTCCTTGGGCCTCTTGGGTGCCTTTGGGGGATTCTCGGGGGAAACTTTGGCCGTCTTGGTGGGCTCCTGGTCCGCCTGACGCCGCCTGCAGCCGTCTTGGAGGTCTCTGTGGGCCGACTTGGAGTCCTCTTGGGGCGCTCCAGGGCCGTCTTGGAGGCCATCTTGGGCGTCTTGGAAGCCTATTGGGTCGTCTCGGGGCCCTCCTGGGGCCGTGTTGGGGGCCTCTTGTGCTGTTCTGGTGCCATCTTGGAGGCCTCTGGGGCGATCTTGGGGCGATGTTTGGGGGCTCTTGAAGCACATGCCAAAATCCTTCGAAGAACACGCAAATTAGCGATTTTGGCATCTTCGGACCTTCCTGGAGGCCCTCTGACCGTCTTGGGCCACCTTAGAGCCATCTTGGGCCGTCTTGGTGGGTGCCTGGCCCGTCTGATGCCTTCGGAAGCTGGCTTGGAGACCTCTCTGGGCCGACTTGGGGCCATCTTGGGGTGCTCCAGGGCCGTCTTGGAGGTCATCTTGGGCGTATCGGAGGCCTCTTGGGTTGTGTTTTGGTCCTCTTGGGGCCGTCTTGGGGGCCTCTTGTGCGTTCTGGGGCCACCTTGGAGGCCTCTGGGGCGTTCTTGGGGCGATCTTTGGGGGCTCTTGGGTCGTCTCATTCGGAAAGTCGAAAAGAAGCAAATGCAAAAATCCTTCGAAGACCTAAGGCAAAATAGCGATTTTGGCATCTTCGGGCCTTCCTGGAGGCCCTCTTGGAGGCTTCGTGGGCCGTCTTGGGCCACCTTAGAGCCATCTGGGGCCGTCTTGGTGAGCTCCTGGCCCGTCTGACGCCGTCGGAAGCCGTCTTGGGGGCCTCTTTGGGCCAACTTGGGGCCCTCTTGAGGTGCCCCAGGGCCGTATTGGAGGTGGGTGTTTTAAATGTCTCTTGGGCTGTGTTTGGTCCTCTTGGGGCCGTCTTGGGAACATCTTGGGCAGTCCTGAGGCCATCTTGGAGGCCTCTTGGGCGTTTGGGGGGCGATCTTGGGGGCCTCTCGGGCCGTCTTGGGCCGTCGGAAGGCCGAAGAAAAGCAAATACAAAAATCCTTCAAAAGCCGACGGAAAATCAATGATGCTAGTATCTCCGGGCCCTCCTGGAGGATCTCTCGGAGGCCTCTTGGGCAGTCTTGGAGGCCTCTTGGGCACCTCTTGGGCAGTCTTGGGCCGTCTTGGAGGCTTCTTGGGCGGAAGTACATTGGACCCTCTTGGGCCGTCTTGGTGGCCATCTCGGAGGCATCTTGGAAGCCATCTTGGGCCATCTTGGAGACGTCTGCAGCAGGACATGCAACCACCTCTTGCGACCCCTTCCGGGTCCTTCCGGGTGGCCGGCGGGCTGGGCCGGAGCCCCAGGGAGAGCTCTTTTGGAGAAAGAACCAAAACCAAAACCGAAAGGATCCAGCACGCCAGGCACCCCTGCGGCAAGCCAACAGGGGGCGGCGGATCGAAAACGCCTACGGCGAATCACCGCCGCCCCCCGCCTTCTAGAATCGCCCCCCATATGGCCGAGCGTCGTGGCAAAAGCTCTGCCAAGGTATCGGGCCATGTGTTCCCCCAACCTTTGTGGAAACCCTTCGGAGGCCACTTGGGGGAGGATGGCGGGGAAGACCAAGAGGAGGCGGAGGAGGAGGTGGAGGAGGAGGAGGAGGAGGAGGAGGAGGAGGAGAAGGAGGAGGAGGAGGAGGAGGAGGAGGAGGAGGAGGAG